TGCTTAACTGACTGAGCCACCCAGGTGCCCTTAATTATTCCCTCTTTGATGGAAACAAACATACCAATCCTGGTTGGCCTAATCACAGAGTTGTGATAAAATGCATAATGAAATAATATTAGTAAATGTATTTTTTAAAAAAACTAACACAAAGTTATTGCTATTGTAAAAAATCCACTCACCCTAACACTGAGTAATCCAAGAGGAGCTTCAGAGAAGACTAGCTGTCAGCAAAATATGTAGTTAAAATTATACTTCTTGTTGACTCTAAAGGACCCATGATCATGCTCCAATTATCACCAATGCCTCAGTACTGGAGCTGTGGTCTAAGCAAACCAAATGTACCTCTTGTCTTTGCCTCTTTTCTACATATCTGTGTTTCCCTTGGAGTCTTCCTTACCTATGGAGAAAAACTATCAACAATAGCAAATTCCTCCTTTTGCACTCATGGAAGACATCAATAATTGACCCTTGAACTCATTCTCTCTGAGCTTAGTCAGACTTCTTCAAATCAAAGCACAGCATACAGCCACTACCAATAAGCAGGAATTCATACATAAGATAAAAACAATTGGCCACATTTGAGCTAGCGCTTCTGTTATTTCTATCCTCCCAGTCATGATGCATGCATTTTAAGAGTGGCTTTCTGGAGTCAGTGCTTTTGCTCCAGAGGTTACTCTCTTAATGAAAACTGGGATTTCAACTGGTTATATAGACTGTTTATAGCTAGTTGGGGAGAATAAGGAGCAAAGTAAGATTAAGAACAGTGAGTACCTGCACATCCCATGGTCTCTTCTTCTGTTCATTTGTAGAAGGACCTTATGGGCATAATTTGTCAGTAAAAGAGAGCCGCAGAAATGAACAATAAAATTTAGGTTTACAGTTTCTGATGATGTCTTTTACTTTAAGAGCAGATGGGAGAGGGAGTAGGGCGAGATGCCCACGGTACATAGGCTGATAAATGGCAGGGAAACCCATTTTACAGAAGTGAGATTTAAAGCTCCAAGTCAATGACTGAGTAAAGAAGGAAGATTACATTGTGGCATGAGAAATACTTGTGAACATTATGTTCATCTCTTAGGGAGAAATTTTCTCCCTTTTTGGATTTCATGAGCACCTTATATAGAAATACCTGAGGGGCACCTGGGTGGTGTGGTCAGTTGAGCCTCTGACTCTTGGTTTCAGGTTGGGTCGTGATCTCAGGGTCGTGGGATTGAGCCCCGCATCAGGCTTCATGCACAGCACAGAGTCTGCTTGAGATCCTCTCTCCCTCTCCTCTGCCCTGCCCACTCAAGCGCTCTCTCTAAAATAAATAAATCTTAAAAAAAAAAAAAAAAAGATTAAGAATTCCTCATATGGGTTGCTGGAGTGGTGGGGGGTGGGAGGGATGGGGTGGCTGGGTGATAAATATTGGGGAGGGTATGTGCTATGGTGAGTGCTGTGAATTGTGTAAGACTGTTGAACCACAGACCTGTACCTCTGAAACAAATAATACATTATATGTTAAAAAAAAGAAAAAGAAGAAGATAGCAGGAAGGGAAGAATGAAGGGGGGGAATCGGAGGGGGAGACGAGCTATGAGAGACTATGGACTCTGAGAAACAAACTGAGGGTTCTAGAGGGGGGGAGTAGGGGGATGGGTAAGCCCAGTGATGGGTATTAAAGAGGGCACGTTCTGCATGGAGCACTGGGTGTTATACGCAAAGAATGAATCATGGAACACTACATCAAAAACTAATGATGTAATGTATGATGATTAACATAACATAATAATAAAAAAAAAAGAGAGAGAGAGAAATAGCTGAAAGAGTCCCATAAGCCAGTAAGAGATCAGGTAAGGGTAGGGGATGTTGCCCTTATCTAGGGCTGCACTACAAACCTCTCCAAAATTCAGTGACTGAAACAAGAACCATTTTATTATATTTCATTGTTTTATAAATCAGGAGTTGGTGAGGTTTGCCTGGGTGATTCTACAGTCTCATTTGGCATCCACTGGGACATTAAGCTACCTGGGTGAGTCTGGGAAGTCAGTCCTGCTGGGATGGCTGGAAGGCTAGACTCATCAGGTTATCTCAAGGCTTCCATCCATGGTCTTTCCAGCAAGGTAGTTGGGCAACATACATGATGGCTTCTAATTTCTTAAGACTTGGGCCCAGAAAATGACTCAACATTACTTCTACTATTTCCTAAAGGGGTCAAGCAATCACAGACCCCACCCAAATTAAAAAGAAAGGAAAATAGACTCCATCCCTCAATAAGAGAAATCTCAAAGAATTTGTGGCCATGTTTAACTGTCATATAGGGTGGATCCTTGATAGTAGCTTAGTTTATCTCATCATTGGGAAATTACAGGCTGCAGAAAAATTACTGTTTTGTTATTGCTTCAATTCTTTTTAAGCTGTCAGTAGGAAGAATTCCTAATTTAAAATCAACTTTAAATGGACAACTTAAATGATCTCTTTTTCCCTATTTCAGTCAATCTCTCTCCCCTTGCATATTATTACCCTATAATTTCCCAAACAAAAGTATTCTGTTTTAAAAGCACCAGTGACCCAGGCTGTTTTGTTTTTTTTTTTTTTTAAATAAAGATCCATTTTATGTAAGAAATGATTTGCAAAAGAGTTCCCTGGACTAACAGCAGTAAGATATAATCTAATTTTGGCTATATTATAAGTTAGAATCAGTCTTTTAACCTCTCTGATTTTTGTTTGGATAATAAGCTTTCACCTTTCTAAAACTTAGAATTGTGGCTAATTAAGAAGGTAATGTATATTAAAGTCTTTGACTTTTATGTATGAAGGAGTATTATGATTGGACTCATTAAAATTCCAATTTCAAACATTGTAAATTAACATATGCAACTTCAAAAGATATGTTAAAATGTCCAAGTGGAAAAATACATGAAAAAATATGTTAACTATGATGTACTCTTGAAGATTTTGTCTTATTGTTTCCAGTTCAGAAATATTTTTTATTCATGATGTTCCTTTAGATTATCTCATTCTTCTGGTTTTCCAGAATCATACCTTTTCCAAGGTTATGCCAAGAGACTTGATTTTATTTTACTTATTCTCTTTCATATATATATATGGCAAATTCATTTTTAGTTTAATAATTAAATCTTAATTATTTTCTTACATTGGAGATCACAGTTAGTGATCTTTCAGTTCTCTTTATGTACATGAAACAATTTTACTTGACAAGAACATTTTCTTTAATTAAATGTGACTGAGATGGAAAAGTCAGAAACTGATGGTCCGAGGCATAGTATTGCTTTCAATTCACTGTAGACACATCTAGTAAAAATTATCTGGAAAGTTTTCAAAAATGTTCCTTAAATGTTAGAGAAGTACTTTTATATAATACAATTATTTTTCTTTTTAGACAGATTAGGATTTCTTTAGACAGATTAGAATACAAAAATTTTAATTTTAATTTAATTTAATTTAATTTTAATTTTAATTTAAATTTCTCAACTTAGTGCTTCAGGTCTCCAAAAGATTAAAGATGTCTCTAATGTGATGTCTCATGGATACTTAAATCCAAGGGTAGAGAAATGTTGTCATTATTGTTTAATTGGACATGGTAGTTGTTGGATATGTGGCAATGGAATATGTCTAGAACACTCTGACACAGATATCAGGATGGTTGATCCCCTCACTTATTTTAGGTTTGACTCAATTATCACTTAATAAGACTACCCTGACCACTGTTTTCAAAATTGCAATTCACCATACAAATTCACATACTCCTGATCCCTCTTACTCTGTTCTATTTTTTTTCTTTTTCCACTGTACCTAGCAATTTATAATACTCTATGTATTTAATTGTTCATTAGAGTTGATTGTGTGTTGCCTGCCCTTTCTAAAATGAAGTGCTATGACTACAAAGATCTTATTTTGTTCACTACTATACCTTCAGGCACCTAGAATAGTGCCTGGCACAGAGGAGATGCTCAATAAATATTACTGAATTATTGAAGAAATACTAACTATGCTTAACACTCATCAATAGATTATGCTTTATAAATACATATATCTTCAGATTAATAAGAAAATTATCACAAAGATTGATATAAATCTGTCTAATGAATATTTGTTTAATGGAACACAGGGTGCCAGGTGGTGAGCTACAGTTCAATAACAGACCACAAAAGAAATTCAAGTAGAGAAGTTTATTACTCATCAGTCCTTCCAGGAAACACATGGCACACCTTGAGGGACAACACTAGGAAGTCCAGGCAGAGTGCAGAAAGAGAAATCAGGACCTTGTGCAAAATGCCTTTATTAGTACATGGGTGGAAAGTCTTGGGGCTCCTGGGTTAGGGCCAGATTGGTTTATTCAAATTAAAAGAGTGGGGCTTTGGGAAGCCCCACAGGGATCTTATCTTAGAGACACATAAAGCATACAGGTTCTGGGAGACAAGGGAAACTGTTGATCACAAGAGCCGTTGGAAAATCAAACTAGGAACTTACATATGCTTGTGACTCTGTGGGCTGCTAGTTAGGACATGCACTTGTATGAGGGGCTAATATTGGTTTAAGGTCCCTGTAGATCACTTGGCCAAACAATATAGATGCCAAGGCAGCAACACCACAGAGTTTAGCTTAACTTTCAACAAGGATATCTTATTTTTTATTTGTTTGTTTTGCTTTTTAATGATTACTTTTAGGGCTCCTTTAAAAACTTGCTCATTGTAAGTTTGGCAAGGACAATGTACAAGATGAGCTTAAGATATCTTTTACCAGAAAGCAAGGAATCAGTAAAATAAAAATTGGGTCATATCTAAATGATATGCAATCCAATTTGCTGACTCTCCCATGGTTCTAGGATGGAATAATTTGAGGGTTCAACAAGAATACTGAATTTGACTCCCAGTTTCAGCTCTGATATTTGAAGAACTTGGAAGAAGAAACTTACAAGAAGAAAAAGTTATACAAGGTGAAAATTAATCACTTTTTACTTAGGACGGAAGCTCGGTTGGTGCTTCTCCAGAAGTTTCCCCGTTGGGCGGCGGCGGTGTAGCTCATAACCTCGGAGGAAGCTGCTCTAACAGCAACAGCGATTTTTAGGGATGGCGGCAGCTGCAGCGGAACCTGCAAGAGCCCAGAAGTTTTTCCGGAGCTTCTCAGATGCTCTGATCGAGGAGGACCCCCAGGCAGCGTTAGAGGAGCTGATTGAGGCTTTGGAACAGAAACCAGATGATGCTCAATATTATTGTCAAAGAGCTTATTGTCACATTCTTCTTGGGAATTACTGTGATGCTGTTGCTGATGCAAAGAAATCTCTTGAACTTAATCCAAATAATTCCACTGCTATGCTGAGAAAAGGGATATGTGAATACCATGAAAAAAACTATGCTGCTGCTTTAGAAACTTTTATAGGAGGACAGAAATTAGATAGTACAGATCCTGATTTCACTTTCTGGATTAAAAGGTGTCAAGAGGCCCAGAATGGATCACAATCTGAGGTGTGTGCATCCCAGAGGACTCATCAGTCAAAAATCAAGTATGACTGGTATCAAACAGAATCTCAAGTAATCATTACACTTATGATCAAGAATGTTCAGAAGAATAATGTAAATGTGGAATTTTCAGAAAAAGAGTTGTCTGCTTTGGTGAAACTTCCTTCTGGAGAGGATTACAATTTGCAACTGAGACTTCTTCATCCTATAATCCCAGAACAGAGCACATTTAAAGTACTTTCAACCAAGATTGAAATTAAAATGAAAAAGACAGAGACCATGAGATGGGAAAAGCTAGAAGGGCAAGGAGATATGCCTAAACCAAAACAGTTCATAGCAGATGTAAAGAACTTATATCCATCATCATCTCATTATACAAGAAATTGGGATAAATTGGTTGGTGAGATCAAAGAAGAAGAAAAAAATGAGAAGTTGGAGGGAGATGCAGCTTTAAACAAATTATTTCAGCAGATCTATTCAGATGGTTCTGATGAAGTGAAACGTGCTATGAACAAATCATTTATGGAGTCTGGTGGTACAGTTTTGAGTACCAACTGGTCTGATGTAGGTAAAAGGAAAGTTGAAATCAATCCTCCTGATGATATGGAATGGAAAAAGTACTAAATAAGTTAATTTGCTAAAAAAAAAAAATTGATCACTTTTCTTGGACCTATCAGAGAACTGAGGTTTCAAAGCAAACTACAACTCTGAAATCTGTAGAAACAGGTGAATCCAGAAATCACAGCCAAGATCTTCTTACCTGTACAGAAACCTATGGAGTATGAACTGGTAGGAAGACTTAAATGGTAATTTTGACAAATTGCTGGAAGCTGAGTGTGGACTAATATGAAAATTAAAAGTTCTTGGATGCCACAGTCTTAGGAAGGATACTTCATGGGCATGACTTTTGGGAAACCCACCAGGTTCTTAGGGTGAACACCTGAGATAAGTCCCCTCCTGATTCTGGAAGGAGAAGGGAAAAGTAAACATGTGAAATGGCCCAGAGCCAACTCCATAATAAAGATCTGCTTTCTATGGAAAAAGGCTTTACCAGTGCTTCATCCCAGCTGGGAAGGGCATTCCTCCCACTTCAGTACTTCCTATCTCATATAAACAGGAAAAAAATATAATAAATAGGAGTCAAGTCTCCAAGAAAATTGGAAATGAGAGGTGAGACAGGGAAGAAAGAACAGAAGGGAAAGTAAACTACTGGAGAAACATTTCTTAAGATCACAGCACAAAGATACATGTCCAGGGAAAGACATGTGTCTATAATAAGATTACAGAATTCTTCCTCTTTCTACCATCTCATCAACACACAAACAGGGCTCCAGTATAATTGCAGCAGATTACATCTGGAAGAGCTGAGAGACACAAATTCTCTCTCAGGAGGAATATATAGGAAAGTTCAAGGTTATGAGGAACAGCATATACTAAGACACTAGAGAAATTCGAAATCTGACACCTTAGCAACAGAAAACATTAAACATAGCCCAGTTCCTAACTGGATTAACGTTAATCCTCACACTAAAGACCTATATAGCTCAGTTCCTATTACCTGATACAACACGTCCAACTTTCAACAAAAATTATAAGACACAACAAAGGGCAAATAAAAATACAATATGAATAGACAAAGTAAGCATCAGAACCAGACTGTAATATGATACAGATAATGGAATTATCAGATGGGGAATTTAATATAACTATGATTTATATGTTACGGGTTAATGGAAAAAGTAGACACCATGCAAGAATAGACAGGTAATCTAAATACTGAGACAACAAATCTAAAAAAAGAATCATAAAGAAATGCTATAAATTAAAATTCTTGCAACAAGAATGAAGAATGCTTTTGATAGGCTCATCAGGATACTGGACATGGCCAAGGAAAGATTCTGTGGGCTTAAAGATATGTTACTAGAATCCTCCCAAACAGAAATGCCAAAAAAAAAGACAAAAAAAAAAAATTAACAAACAAAAAAAACCTCAGAACATCCAAGAACTGTGGGTAATTTCATAAGGTAGAAAAAAATACTCATAATTGGAGTCTCAGGGGAGAATTTGAAATAATAATAATTAAGAATTTTCCAAAATTAATGACAGACATCAAATCATAGATCCAGAAAGTTCAGAAAACACCAAGCAGAATAAATATCAACAAAACTACACCTAAATATATCATATTCAATCTGCAAACAAAGAGAAAGATAATATCTTGAAAGAAGCCAGTGTAGGGAAACATCTCATCTATAGAGGAAATTATGCAAGCAAGAAGAAAGCAGAGTGAAATATTTAAAATGTTAAACACATACGCACACGTCCACTCCAACCTAGAATTCTATATCCAACAAAATTATCTGCAAAAAATAAAAGAGAAATAAAGATTTTTTTTTAGACAAAAACTAAGAGAATTCATTACCAGCACACTTGTCCTGCAGGAAATGTTAAAATAGTACTGAATTTTTTAAAAAATGAAATGCATCAAACATAATATTTATGAATTCAAAATACTACTCTCCCCCAAGTGCACATAAACACACAACACATGGGTCTCCATTGAAAGTTACCAGGGTATGAACTCGTTATTTTGAAAACTCAATAATAAAGTGAACAAATCAATCATTTATAGTGTCTATTCTGCACAAATTGTATTTCAAGATAAAAAAAAAAAACAGTTGTGTGAAAATTCATTTTTTAAAAAGGCACCTGAGTGGCTCAGTCAGTTAAACATCTGACTCTTGATCTCAGCTCAGGTCTTTAGGGTCATGAGTTGAAGTTCCATCTTGGGCTTCACAATGGGCAGAGAGCCTACTTAAAAATCAATCAATCAATCAATCAGCAATCAGCATTCTAGCTAATAAATGCAAAAGGGATGATAGAATTATAAAGTTATCACCTCACACCACCTAATAAAATAATAGAGCTTGACAATGATCTACTGCAAACACTGAATAAAATTTGACAAGAAATTTTATGAAAGAAGGATCACACTGGCATTATCTCAAATCAGCTTAAGCATCACCAAAAGTGAGACAACCACAGACCACATGGCTTCTGATCTGATGTCCTATGAAACATTCTTGAACTCCCTACCAGTTGAATCTAAATCTAATTAAAGTTCTAGATCTAACTACCAGTGTGATACATGGGTGATAGTAGGATAAGATAAATGACATCACTGGAAGCAATAATCCAAACAGGACACGCTACAAGGACAAACAACTTGAATTCCCCCAACAAATCTGTGCCATAAAAAATAATCAAAAAAAGCAATATCTGGGCTTTATTTGGATCCTGATATTAGCAAATGAACCCTAATAAAAGGTCATCTTTGGACAATTAGGCCCATATAAATGTGGATGGTTATTAAAGAATTTTAAAGATTAGTTTCGACTTTGAGTAATAATGCGATGTGTGTGCTTTTTTTTTTAAAGGTTCTGAGTTAGATGCACATGCTGATAACATTATTGGAGGAATGACATGATATGTGGGATTTTCTTTCAAATACTTTAGCTTAAGAAAAATGGCAGGTGTGGTCAATGAAACATGACTACCAAAATGTTGATAATTGTTGAAGCTAGAAGATGAGTATACACAAAGGTTTACCTTACTCTTCTATTTATAGATATATTGAAAATTTTCCAAAATAAAGAAGTTTTTAAAGCTTTCTTTTCAGTAGAAGAAACTAGGAGTAAGAGTTTATGAGTCAATATATAACTCACATTTGTGGGCAAAAGTCTGCCTGATTGCACTGAAGACTTACAATGACGTGAGCAGATTCCACACATCTGTAATCCAATAAAAGTGAATCACACTTACTTTATTTTTTTTTATTTGAGAATAGTTGACACACAATGTTACATTAGTTTCAGGTGTACAACATAGTGATTCAACTTCTCTATAGGTTAGGCTATGTTCACAAGTGTAGCTACCATCTGTCACCATACAACACTATTACGATACCATTGACTATATTCCCAATGCTGTGGCTTTTATCCCCATGACTTAGTCATTCCATAACTAGAAGCCTTTATCTCCTCCCCTTCACCCATTTTGTGCACCCCCCTAACTCTTTTCCCTCTGGCAACCATCAGTTTGTTCTATTTATAGTAAAAAATATTTATAGATGGGGACCCGGTTGGGTCAGGCAGTTAAGCCTTTGCCTTCGACTCAGGTCTTGGTCCCAGGGTCCTGGGATCAAGCCCCACATCGGGCTCCCTGCTCAGTGGGGAGTCTGCTTCTCTCTTTTCCCTGCTTGTGTTCCCTTTCTCACTCTCTCTCTCTGTCAAATAAATAAATAAAATCTTTAACAAAAAATTTATGGAAATTGAGGGGTCTGAACAGCCATAACCTGTCACCTGTCACAATACAAGCTTCGTTGAAAATTATATGGGAAACCAAAAGAAACAATTTCATACTCCATTAGCACATTTCTTGAAGAAAAATTCTAACTTATGATAGATTACTAACTGAAGGATAGAATACCTCCTGTGACCTTCACTCAAAGATAAGGATCACCTAAAGTATAATTGAGGAAAAATATCTTAGGGACCTCTAACACCCAGAGGAAGACAAGAGAAGGTATATAGTAATTGATTGAAAGAGGTAACTGTAATCATAAATTGTAAAAGAAGATTCCTTTTTATTTAAAATTTCATTTTTAAAGTAACTTCACTTTCTATAATATTTATCAGGAGAAACACATTTTAATGAGTCAGAGTAAAAAAAGAGTAAAAAAAAAAAAGTTTTTGAAGGCCACTATGGGCTTCTCCCCCCAGAAAATGAAGAAACCCAAGACATATCCAGTGACTGGAATTCCAGGCCATCCCAAAAGGCTCAGAAAATGCGGCTGGAAATTCCTGTGATGACTTCCAGCACACAGCCATGAAGATGTAACCCAGAGGAAAGAGAAATGAAGAAAGTTATGCAACTCCTTCTCTAATAAAAGTCCTGGAACCCCATATTGTGCCAGGCCAGGTGAAAGTGAAAAAAATTGCCTTTTTATGTGTTTTCTATTTAAAGTGAGTAAGGCAGAGACTCTAATACAACTAGAATCCAAGATTATGAAGTAAAAAGCTAGATGTAGTTGTGAACATAGATATATAGATTGATGGATAGACTGACAGATATAGCTAATCCCTTATGTAAAAGAAAAAGATATAGCTTGCTTTTTTTTTTTTCGGTTTTGATTCTTTATCATGTTTTTTTTAATTATGTTCAGTTAGCCACTGTATAGTACATCATTAGTTTTTGATATAGTGTTCAATGATTCATTAGTTGCATATAAATATGGCTTTCTAAAATAAATGACATAATTCCTGAGTAATTTAATATTTTATGTTGCTTTTTCCTATGGTGTTAACTGTTAGATAAATAGCGCCCAATACAGACATTCCTCTTAGATTATTGTTGTGAAAAGTCTCAACATGTTTATAGGTTTAAGAGTGGGTGGAATAGTCAATCTATTTCTCATTGCCTACTTGCATAGCTTAAAATGCTCATTCAGCAAAAGTATAAACAACTGTTCCAATAAAATTTAAATAACATTTTAATTGGGCCCATAAAGGAGAGGCAAAAACAAAAAATAGGAAGGAATTATTAATATTTCCTGTGGTGTTTCTCACGTATTCA